TAAAATAAGCAGTCTCCTACTTTCTTGACGATAAGATGCAAAAAGAGATTTTTTAAAGGCCAACTGGAATATATAGAAACTCTTAGGAATATAGCTAATATGCTAGAGTTTTTCAGTTCCAGTACTATTAACATTTTGAACCAAATAATTTTTTGTTGTAGGGGCTGTTCTGTGCATTGTCTTATTTTTAGTCCCATCCCTAGCCTCTACTCACTAGATGCCAGCAGCACAGCCCCACCCCCGCCCCACCCGCCAGTTGTCACCACCAAATATATCTCTAGACACGGACAGTTGTCCCTAGAAGGCAAAATAACCCCCGGTTGAGAATCACTGGTATAGTCAAATGCCTACCTATTACACACACACATTTTTTGGAGACAGGATCTCACTCTGTCTCCCAGGCGGGAGTGGCAGTGGTGCAATCACAGCTCACTGCAGCCTCAACCTATTGCGCTCAAGTGATCCTCCCACTTCAGCCTCTCGAGTAGCTAGGACTGCAGATGTGCACCACCACGCCCAGCTAATTTTTTTTTTTTTTTTTGTATTTCTTGTAGAGATGTGGTTTGACCACACTGCCCAGGCTCGTCTCAAACTCCTGAGCTCAAGCCATCCTCCCATCTTGGCCTCCCAAAGTGCTGGCATTACGGGCATGAGCCACTGTGCCCAGTCTTACTTATACTATTTAATTTATTCCTTTAATTACTTGTATACTTAAACATTTTGGGCAATAGCTCGTTATTTTATAAATATTTCTTTTTTGCACTCCAATTTCATAAAACAAATGTATTCAAACCTTTATAGGCATCTTTAATGCCAGCATCTTCATTGCTGTTATAGCCCCTCTTCTGTTATTTAACAGAGCTTTCTAGGCTGCATCATTTTCACTTCCGTCTACATTGAATATGATGCAGCACTTAACATCCCAGTAAGACGCTATCACAGGAAAGTTACATCCCAAGATACAATTATCCACTGCATAATATTGGGACAGTTTTCTTTTTCACTGCTGTTCTGATCACAAAAGCTCAACAAGTATTGCTTTAAAAAACAAACACCAAATTGAATTTCTTAAAAAAAAAAACGACGACAACGAAAAATCCTTTTTTATTTATAAAAAATTGAAACCCACTGGACATGGTGGCTCACGCCTGTAATTCCAGCACTTTGGGAGGCTGAGGCAGGTGGATCACCTGAGGTTAGGAGTATGAGATCATCCTGGCCAATATGGCGAAATCCCATCTCTACTAAAAATACAAAAATTAGCCGGGTGTGGTATCAGGTGCCTGTAATCCCAGCTACTTAGGAGGTTGAGGCAGGAGAGTAGCTTGAACATGGGATGCAGAGGTTGCAGTGAGCCGAGATGGTGCCACTGCACTCTAGCCTGGGTGAAAAAAAAAATATATGTCCAAATTTGAATCTATTCAAGCCTTTAGGTCTAACCTCAGTTTTCAGGAAATACAGGGGACAAAGGAATAAATTAAAGAACTTCACAAGGAAGCAATCAGCCAATTCCAGAATATAGACCATTCTACTGGACAACTGAGCCAGTTCTCTCCAGAAATCAACCACATGAACACAAAAACAAACACAGGGCCACCTCAGTGACTCATGCCTGTAATCCCAACACTTTGGGAAGCTGAGGTGGAAGGATCCCTTGAGCCCAGGAGTTTGAGACCAACCTGGGCAAAATAATGAGACCCTGTCTCTACCCTCATACACACACAGAAAAGGTTAAAAATAAAATGAAATAAAAGCACGCAAGAAACAGAGAGGAGACTGTTTCAGATTAAAAGAGATTCAAGAGGCCGGACACAGAGGTTCACGTCTGTAATCCCAGCACTTCAGGAGGCTGAGGCAGGCAGATCACTTGAGGTCAGGAGTTTGAGACCAGCTTGGCCAACATGGTGAAACTCTGTCTCTAC